CGTCTTGTGAAGTATGCTACTTTTGATTATAATCTTTCATTGTTTTTTTGTAGTGGTAATAAATTTATACCATTTTATATATTTTGAGAGTAAATTTATATAATAAATTATTTAAAATTTGTTAAAATGAATTATTATCATTTTATAAAATGGAAATTTTTCTATTAAAATTAGCGATTTAATTGGAAATGGCGCTTGTCCACTTTGAATATTTAATTTGATTTTTGAATCAATGCTTTATTGCATTGTGGTTTTATTACCGAATGCAATTTTGCACTAATTTATATCCGCGGCAGAATTAGGATAGTGCAGATGAAGGATAAGAACAAAAGTGATTGGAACCGACCATAATTATTTAAGACTTTAAGTCCTGATCGGATGCGAATCCGGACTCCTCACATAAGGTCATCCGCTGGATTTTGACACGTATATAAAAATCTAAAAATTATTTATGTAAAACCGGTTATATTTAAATATCTAAAAAATTTATCGTCTCACTCAGTACAGAAGTATTGTTTGGTTTAATTAATTATTAATTTGAAATCGATTTAATAATTTCCAATATAATTAAAAATTTGATTAAACATTTCAGTGAATATTGAAATATTTAATCAAATTTTGGCACCGTCCTCTGGGCACTAAGAGCTTAGCGCCATAGTTCTTCATATCCATCGATAGCGACCGGTGCCATACATATTCAGAACTAATCACGCACAAAGAATTCGGGTTACTCTCTCGAACCCGATCCTGGTCCTCTAGAACAGGGGTCACCAAACTACGGCTCGCGCGGTCAGTTCATTCGGAATGCCGCCTTACTGTGCCACAAATGGGCTAAAACATAATTATTTATATGGAAATATAATATATTACAGATAAACTTACTGTGTAGAAAAAATTAAAATAAGTGTAAGTAAAAATGCCAAAAGCATTTGTACCTTCATTTTAGACAAAGGCCAACAATTAATTCTTAATTTCTAAAAATGAACACAGCACTTGGCCCTGAATAACAATCTTACTTCAGCGTGCAAAAGCAAAGATTTATACTAAGCTTCCATAGATATTCAGTTTTAAAAAAGCATTTTAAGTGACCTTGACTTGATGTAAGTTTAACATTTGTACAACTTGGTCTAGTATAGGTTTTAACGCTACTGGCATTTGCGTTGTTTTTCAAACTAGGGATCCTTTATAATATTTGAGTTTCTTGTCTTAGCAAGGGTAACAAGTGAAGTTCACTGCAAAATGCAAGTCGCGTCTTGTCTACGTTATAAACTGCGAATATACGCTAAAGTTTGTCCAATCAGTCCGCTTTCATAATTTAACGGAATACTTATAACAAGTTCGCGGAACCGGATAAAACCACTGATCTAAGTTTAAGAAGTGCGCTGAAAAGCTTCATATTTCTATCTCGTTTAATTGTTTTGGCTTTATTTGATTTCAGCAACGCGACACATGAGCGATCTTTCGAAAGGTCTTTTATGGGAAATTTGCCCCCTATTTAGGTGTTACTAACGTGATCAAAATCCAGAAAACTCCACTTAACCAACCTGTTGGCCAGACGCGAATCCACGACACCAATGTTCAGTTATTTTATCCACTCGGCCACTGGGGAGAGTTTAATTTTTTTTATCATAAGTTATTAAGTACAATCGACCCCCTATAACGTGGGTTTCTATAACGGAGATTCCTATAACGTGGCGAAAAAATTGAGACAGTATTCGTATAAGGACGCTAAAAGGGACTCGTAAAACGTCGTCGCCGGCTTGTGTCGCGACAGTATTGGTCGAATCTGGACCAATAGTGGACGAGCAGTCGAACTACTTTCCGCCGTCCAGCGCCACGCTACGGAGAGGTTAGGCAGGTAAGTTGAGTTTACTATCGTCTGTACAGTATGTAAATTAGGTACCGTAAGTCTAATACAGCACTAATTTTATACATTTCTTGTGAAAGAAACATTTCTTATTCAACGGCCATNTATCGTCTGTACAGTATGTAAATTAGGTACCGTAAGTCTAATACAGCACTAATTTTATACATTTCTTGTGAAAGAAACATTTCTTATTCAACGGCAATAAAAATTATTTATATTAATGATGTCTCCAAAGTTCAACGAAGTTTTCACAAAAAAATAACTTATCAGAAATCGCGGCCGCCGTTTGGTGCGCTGCTCCGCGACAAAAACAAGCTTAAGCAATGGCGACGTCGAACGGTGCACACTCGGTAAGTAGTCCTACAATTTTTTGTTTATAGAATAGTTTATACGGATTATTCCCAAAAAATTATACGTGTTTTGGAAATGTTGAGCCGAATTAGTCTAGAATTGATTAATTTTATGGAAGAAAACTTTTCAAACAGCCGTAGTCCGTAAACTTCACACGTGTCGGTCTGCGATTGGCTCATGTATTCAAGGATTCCTTCAAATAACGTGGAACGTATCTAAGCGTTATAGGGGGTCTACTGTATTTTCAATTTTTCTCTTTATTTAAATTAACTTTTTGTTACATATTATTATTTAATATGCTTTATGTGTTCAATGTTGCCATTTTAAACTTTTTTTTTATACTAGATCTAATCTTTATTTTTGAATTTAGTTTATTTTTTCCATTTGATTTATAGTTTAAATATTTAGTTTATTTTTTCAATACACTTGTGTTTTTTTATTTATTTTTTTAATTCTTTCCACCCTGTGGGCACTAAGAGGGCCTCTTTTAGCCAGCCCATTATGAGTTCGGCCAGGCCCATAATGGGTGGCCTGGTGGTGAGAGATGGAAACCGACATATCCGATCGGATCACCTCCCCGAAAAATTCCTGGGGAATTTTCGACCCGTCCGGATTCGATTCCGGATCTCCCAGAGTGGTAGGCTTCCACCTTGATTGCTCTGCTAGCTTGCGTTATTGTATAAAAAGTTCTTTCTTTTTCACGTACCTTGATCCGTACTGTTACTAACTCTACCGTAATTCACAGATTCCAATAGTAAATTTAAGGGTACACAATCGATGATTGTAGAATAATTTTGTCATTTTAGTAGATTTTTTTATTTTGGTAAAAAATACACAACAAAATTATTTTAAATTAATTAAATATCTTCTAATGTGGGGTGGATAATAATGAGGACTTTAAGGGTTTATGCACAAATATCGACTGGAATCTAGGCAAATTATTCTACAATCGTAACGAAAATTATTACTAAGAATTGCTTTTAGCTCTTGGTATAATTAAATTAATTAAATATCTAATAATGTGGGATAGATATTTAATTAATTTAATTATACCAAGAGGTAAAAGCAATTCTTTGTAAAAATTATTTTAACTGAAGCGCAGTGAACATACTTCCTTGGTAGGAACTCAAATTGACATATCGCCGAAACACGTCTTGTGAAGTAATGACTCGACCTATTCGAACGGTCGAGTCATTTAAGTTAATACTAATGTGACCAGACTGGTGATGTCTATGTCAGGACTGACACCACTGTATCCTTTAAGGCAGATACAGAAACCTCTTAGCTGCTGTTCCGATTTTTGTGCGAGCGGTCGCGTATGTAGACATTAGGGGTCCGGGATGGAGACGGCCTGAGAGACAATGCGGCCGAAAGATGTGCACAATACAACTTAATTAATTATAAAGAAAAAAATACCGGTTTATTTTTGTAAATTATTTACACGTGTACATAGAATAACAGAGAGTTCCATTATAGCTTTCAAATAGCGGCTTAAAATTGGATAAAGCTATATAGAGTAACATAATTGAGTATTAAAGTTAACGGGTTTCTAGCCGAGAGAGAGCTTACATTATTACGCGTGGTGCGAAATACCTTGATTGGTAGGTTGATTGATGTCGTGGATCGTCTTTGCTTCATAAAGTTATACCCAACATCCCCTTTGTTCCATAAAGTTATACCCAACGCCCCCTAATCCATTTTCTCTTGTGTGAGAAAGAATTGGAAATCTTCTTCTTCTTCGTCCTGGCCTATATCCCAGATTATTTGGGGTCAGCCCGGAATGTCAATTTACGCCACGTTGGTCTATCTCTAATTGTTTCTTCATCCACTCCACAGTCCAGCATATCTGTTTTTACACATTTAATCCACCTCTTCTTAGGTCTTCCCCTACTTCTATCCCTGTTCATATTTAGTGCTTATTTTGTTACATGTTCCTCATTCCTTCTCACCACATGTCCAAGCCATGTCAGTCTGTGTCTTTTTATTTTTTTTGAGAGATAGATACTACCTTTAAACTTCCTCTGATGTAATCATTTCTAATCCTATCCATTCTTGTGACCCCGCACATCCACTTCAGCATTCGCATCCCTGCCACGTGCAATCGCTTCTCTTCGGTGGCTGTCATCGGCCAGCACTCGCACCCATACATAAGCACGGGTCTGATGACAGTTTTATATATTAGCCCTCTTATTTTAATTAAGTGTCATGCGTTTGTCACATGTTATTCCTGTCACCTGTTTCCACTTTAACCATCCTGCATTGATACTCCTAGTAACCTCCCTATCAATGTTGCCATCTTTCTGCAGCAGAGATCCCAGATAACGGAATTCAGTACTTCTTATTCTTACTCAATATTCTTAGGAAAACTTTTCTATGAATCTCACACTTTGTGCCCTTACCGTACATTGTTCTTAACATCTGGAAACCATTAAACTCAATGTTTCCTCTTATCAGTTTAACAGAGGAAAGGGAACGGCTTTCAGTAACCCCAATTTTGCCTTTGGTCACCGTTCAACACCCTGCCTCCAGCGCCCCTAGATTTACTCATCGCCCACAAGGGGGCGTTATTGTCCACTCTGAGAAACGCTGGTCTTGACGAAGGGGTGAAGAGGTTTCCGCTGGATTGGGTAATACTCCTGGGTGGGACAGTTTTGGTCGAATATCCGGTAAATAAATACAGATATGGTCCGGCGACGGCGGC